GTGTGTGTAATACCAGTCCTGCCCCACTGCCATTGTCATTAGAGCTACCATCGACGTAGAGCTTCCATCGTGGTGGTTCGCCAGCTTCCTCGGCCCCGTCCGACAACCCCGTGAATTCTGCCACAAAGTCTGCCAGGGCTTGGCCCTTGATGGCAGTACGCAGTTTGTAGTCGATGTCGAATTGGCTGAGCTCTATGGACCATTTCAAGAGTCGACCGGAGGCATCGGGCTTTTGTAGCACCTGCCTGAGTGGGTGGTTGGTCAAGACCTGAATGCTATGGGCCTGGAAGTAGTGGCGCAACTTCCTCGCTGTCACAACTAGTGCGAGGGCGACCTTTTCCATTTGGGGATACCTCGTCTCTGCGTCGAGGAGGCGCTTGCTAGTGTAATACACTGGCAACTGCACCTTCTTCTCATCGCGGGTCACCACCGAACTAACGGCGTGCTCCGAGACCGCCAGGTAAAGGCTCAGCACCTCTCCGGTCACAGGTTTGGACAGTAGAGGGGGTTTCCTAAGGTGTTCCTTCAGTTGTTGGAACGCCCGTTCGCACTCTTCCGTCCATTGGAATGGCTTGCTTCCCCTCAGGGTATCAAAAAATGGTACGCACTTATCCGTAGATTTTGAGATAAACCTGTTAAGTGCATCCACACAGCCTGTCAGCTTCTGGATCTCCTTGGGCTTCCTTGGCGATCCCATGTCGAGAAGGGCCTGAATCTTTTTCGAATTGGCCTCAATTCCTCGACTGCTCACCATGAAACCCAAGAATATCCCTGACGCGACGTCGAAGGCACACTTTCGGGGGTTTAGCTTCATTTTGTATGTTCTGAGGACGCTGAACATTCTCCTAAGGTCCTCCACATGGTCCTCAGTCTTCCTGCTCTTTACCAGCATGTCATCCACGTACACCTCCATTGATTTTCCTATCTGCCCTGTGAACATTTTGTTGACGAGGCGTTGATAAGTTGCTCTAGCATTTTTTAGACCGAAGGGCATTACTTTGTAACAGTAGAGACCTCTGTCGGTGACAAACGTTGTGTGCTCTTCGTCGCGGTCGAGCATTGGTATCTGGTTGCACCCAGAGTATGCGTCCATGAAGCTAAGTAATTCGTGTCCCCCTGTAGCGTCGACCAATTGATCGATTCTGGGTAGTGGAAAGCTGTCCTTGGGACACGCTTTGTTCAGGTCACTAAAGTCGACGCACGTTCGCCACTCCCCGTTGGGCTTCCGCACCAGTATGGGATTTGACACCCATTTGGGGTACAAGACTTCTCGGATGAAGTTGTTTCTGATCAGCTTGTCGACCTCTTCCCGCAGGGCCTCGTATCGCTCGGCATTCGTCTTATCGCTCGGCAGTCATAGGTCGATGCTTTTGTCTCTTAGGCGAACACTTATCGTCGATATTCAGCCTATGACACATGATGTCAGGGCTTATCCCTTCCATGTCTTCGTGGGTCCAGGCGAACACGTCGAGGCTTCTTCTGAGAAACTCGACCAGTCTTTCGCGGGCCTGCGCCCCCAGCTCTGAGCCCACCCTTAGCGTTCTCATTGGCTCCCTTTCATCGATGGGGACCTCGATCAATTTCTCGACCGGTCTCGTTCCGGTCTCTTCTCCTGGGAACCTTGGATCCAAATCGAGTCCTTCCGCCCTAGTCTCCACCATCCTCAGCTCTCTCCGTACCTGTGTCGGCTCGGCATAATGGTGGACCGTCTCTGAGTATGTAAGCCTCAACTCGTACTGGTTTCCTCGAGCTCTTCCG